AAAAAAAAAAAAATAGGATTATCCTTGATTATTTGTCTTATGTCACATATTTATTCTAAAATTTATTCTAAAATTCTTTTAGTCTACGTTCAAAATATATTTTGAATTTGTCTGTATCTCACCATCTCCATTGTTAACAATATAGTCTAGACCACCATCATTAATTGCCTAATTTATCACAAAGCCTCCTAAGTCATCTGTTTCTATCCTTCCTCTAACACCCTTCCTGTTTCTAGTGTATTCTCAACACAGAAGTAAAAGTGAACCTTGTAGCCAGATCACATCAATTACCTGATCAAATTCTCTTAGAGGATTAGGGTTTACTTCTTACCTCCTACCAGGTTATATTTAATGAAATTTGTTACAGTTTCATGAAACCTTAAATTATGTTTTCAGCCAGGTTCTTCTAAACTTTATAGGTTTATTCTTGACTCCAAACCACATTATTTCCTTCTAGTCAATTAAAATTATTCACTCTCAAATCTCAAAAACTGCCAGCAAGTGTCATCAATTCTCACATTTTTAGAATTGTATTATTTCCCCTTCTAGTTTTAATATACAAAGTGGAGTCATTTTTGCTAGTTTGCCCTCTGAGTTAATGAGCTTTTGATCATTTGGTTGGCTTTTCAAAAATGCCTCTAGGTCTCTTATTTTTCATTGAGATGTAACAGCCAGAAATGTGTAAACATTTCATTAGTTTATACAACTATACTATATCAAAGTTTACGTTGAGAGTTTTTGTTGTTATTTGGATGGCGTATCATTCTGTGTTTGTTTTATTTTTTAGTTCTGGGACATTTTCTCATGCCCGAGTCCTAACTTGTATGTTATGTTGACGTTTTTGACTGATGTCATTGCCCTCAAAAATGAAACAACAGGAATTTTTCTTTTTATGTTTTCAACTTTCTATAATCAGTTTTCAGGCTTTTGCCCTAAAATGTTCATAATGTCATATGGACTGAAATACCATGTTGAATTCATGTAGGGAAAAACACAATGTAATATATTAAAGCTATTTTCTGAGATACTCCGATTATGCTACTTCATGATTGAATGCTAAAGATTTTTGTTTGTTTCTCATGGAAAAACACACTTGCAATCATAAATTCCCTTAGTCTAAGTAATAATCAACAAAAACATTCTCCTTTCTCCCAATTTTTATATTTTCTGTAATCTGCCATCCTCATTTAAAAAAAAAAATCTCCTCATCTCATTTCTTCAATGAGGTAAGATATTAGCACCATCATATTTAATTGGTGAGCCAAAAATACGCTCAAAATTATGGCAAAATTTCTCACTTTTTATGTTGTACTGTTTCCCATATATTATGCTAATTCTAGTCAAGCAAATTTACAGAAGAGTTCATGAAATAATCTTAAAATTATATCAAAATGCCCTGGCATGTGTTTTAAATGTTTCTACATTTATATAAATAACTTAGATAATATGTTTAATCAAGGCATAATTTAACTATTTTCTTATGGTTTTATAATAAAAATAAACTTTATTCCTTTGTTGTGGTTTCAGTATTAATTTTCTTATTTTTTAAAGAATGTTGATTTAATTTCAAAGTTGTTTTATACCTTACAAGAAATATTCAGTTGCATGTTCTACAATATTCTGAAGAGAGGATCTCAGTTTTAATGTTTCTCCAGTTCCAGACTTTGAAACCAGTCTTAACATCAAATTGGGTGAATTTTACCATAAAAGAACATTTAATTCAAGTACCTATTTTGGCATTTCTAATCAGAATATGTGAATAAACAAACAGTTTTATATGCATAAAAATGGTACAGTCTATCAAAATGCATCTCTGTACTTAAGTGGGACTTAATTATGATGTTAAAAATTTTAAGGTAAAAATGTCTAGAGTAGTGACTTACCAAAATTAGAAGCATATTCTCCAATGAATCGCTTAGTAAGAAACCTCACTGTAAGGGCTGCAAAGCAAACAATCTAGATTTAAGGCTGTTATATTTTATGAAACAGAAAATTTGGTTATGTGCATGAGGTTTTAGTTCTTAAATAAAAAATATTCAAGAATTAACAAAGACTTTTAAATTTTACCAAATTCTGTTCTAAATAGTAGTTCACAATATTTCCATGGTACAAACAAATGATTAGAAAGCTGGAAAGGAAGTGATCTTAAAGCGCTGCACATCTAAATCACTATGCAGTTAATTCATTACCGCAAAAACATAAGGCCACTTACCTTTTGTAACAGAAACAGATTTCTCATATTTAAGATGCAAGAAGTTTGACATCTGTTTATTTTCTCTATCAAATTCAGTCTGGCTTCAAAGTACTATATGTAATAGTCACAAGGACACTACCAAGTATTTGCAGTTATTTAAGGATGTAGGGACCTACAAATCCAGGAAATAGAAAAAGAACCTCTGGTATCCGTTCACCATGTCACAGCTCCTGGGTTTGGTCAGTTAAGATGTCATGATTCTTTAGGCTCAAGTGGCCCTATTGGTAGCATCCTACCATTATAATGTGACCAAGACCAAAGTAAAATA